ACATTATCGATATCGTTCGAGTTCATCATCAACTCCAGCATCCCTTTAAGGGAGATTATATCCCAAAATCCGTACGAAGAGAGTAAAAAATGGAAAACAATTGCAGATCGTATAAGATACTGTTTTATCGTACATTACCGTAGCGTTCACCATGCAAAAACTCTTTTGAAGTAGGCAATGTAAAATACAGTATGAAATCATATGACTTCAGCGTTTACCGTATCTAAAATACGGAATTGCAAGAACTCTCTAATAATACACTGTTAAATCTGTAGTATCAAATTATACTCAATTTAAATTATTTTTAACCATTCCTATAAGTCGCCACTGCTCCTACTAAATATGTCGTTAATTTAACTAATGTAATGGAGTTAAAATAACTCTAAGCTATAATAATTTAACTTAAGAAATGTATTAAATTTGACTAAAATTTAGTTTATTTTTTATTATGTGCATACGTTAATGTAACCTTTGTTTTAGTAAAAAATGACAATATTGTGTTTTAAATGGGTTGATTAGATGTGGTTGTTTTTTTAAACACACTGAGAGAAAAATGTATGATATTTGGAACTATAATGGCATAGTAAAAAGATTATAGTTAGGAATATCTTTTTTATAGTAAATGTCACCATAATGTTTGTAATATTTACAATATAAGCATAGTATAACTGATTCATGTAAACCTTTTACCAAGAATTATAATTATTTGAAATAAAAAACATAGTAAGATAGCAAATATTAAATGGTAAGAGAAATTAACTATTTTATATAGTCAATACAATTGGAATATTTGGAAAATATAGATACATATAACTATATTCTCAAAGTGTGCCTTACTATACACATAGAGTAATAAAATGGTGACTATAAATGTGTGTTCATTCTGTTATATCTTCGGATGAACTATAAATATATGTTTGAGGCCAAAATGAACTATAAAATATAGTGAGATTATAGTCATTCCAACTATTTTTTCTCTCAGTGCGTATGTTTTGTGTTAAAATAGTAAATTTTGACACACATGATAGTTAAAAATAACTAAATATTATTTAACTCAAAAAATTTGTTTAAATTTGACCCTCCAATATTTAACAGTGTAAAAAGATTATAGTTAGAAATATCGTTTTTATAGTAAATGTCACCATAATGTTTGTAATATTTACAATATAAGCATAGTATAACTGACTCATGTAAAACTTTTACCAAGAATTATAATTATTTGAAATAAAAAACATAGTAAGATAGCAAATATTAAATGGTAAGAGAAATTAACTATTTTATATAGTCAATACAATTGGAATATTTGGAAAATATAGATACATATAACTATATTCTCAAAGTGTGCCTTACTATACACATAGAGTAATAAAATGGTGACTATAAATGTGTGTTCATTCTGTTATATCTTCGGATGAACTATAAATATATGTTTGAGGCCAAAATGAACTATAAAATATAGTGAGATTATAGTCATTCCAACTATTTTTTCTCTCAGTGCGTATGTTTTGTGTTAAAATAGTAAATTTTGACACACATGATAGTTAAAAATAACTAAATATTATTTAACTCAAAAAATTTGTTTAAATTTGACCCTCCAATATTTAACAGTGTAAAAAGATTATAGTTAGAAATATCGTTTTTATAGTAAATGTCACCATAATGTTTGTAATATTTACAATATAAGCATAGTATAACTGACTCATGTAAAACTTTTACCAAGAATTATAATTATTTGAAATAAAAAACATAGTAAGATAGCAAATATTAAATGGTAAGAGAAATTAACTATTTTATATAGTCAATACAATTGGAATATTTGGAAAATATGGATACATATAACTATATTCTCAAAGTGTGCCTTACTATACACATAGAGTAATAAAATGGTGACTATAAATGTGTGTTCATTCTACTATATCTTCGGATGAACTATAAATATATGTTTGAGGCCAAAACGAACTATAAAATATAGTCAGATTATAGTTATTCCAACTATTTTTTCTCTCAGTGTACATGTTTTGTGTTAAAATAGTAAATTTTGACACACATGATAGTTAAAAATAACTAAATATTATTTAACTCAAAAAATTGGTTTAAATTTGACCCTCCAATATTTAACAGTGTACCTCGTCGGTAATGTAAATGAATTTCCGAGAGACTGATTTCGCAAAATGTAGATCCAGAAGTATTTTATCGATATCAGGATAAGGACTCACATCGTTAAGCAGCTCCCGCCTGTACTCGGACTCGTCGATGTCGATCTCCGAGGCAAGATCAGTGTGATCGGTAACGTATCCATCGTAATGCGCGCTGTTTGCCTCGCTGCGTGCGTACTCTTCCTCCTCGACAGCGCCGGCGATGGTCGGTATCGAGGTGGTACCGTTTGCCAGTAGCATTACCGCTCGTGGCAGAAGGTCACCGGGTGAATCTCCTCATTCCTGCCTGTTCCGCGTACTCGCTGAAACACGTGGGGTCCAGTATCTACTAAAACGTGCCACTTTTATCAAGCAATCGATTTCACCGAGCCAACGCCGACTTAATATCATCCCCACGACCTCTTTTCGCATTATTGCCCGACGAGGAGAATTTCCGCGATGTAGGGTCGGTTTTTGAGCAGCTTCGTGAATTGCCAACGAAGTTGTACTGCCTATAGACACTCCAATATTCACGAGTACTCGTCGAGGAGAACATCTGAATCATAAACGTATTGTTACGTCCCCGCTTCGAATATTTATTCGTTCTGAACTGCCTTATCAATTCATTGCGGTTATAAAAGCGCGGTACACGATATAAAAATTCGTTATGTAAAAATAACATAAATAAATAAAATATATAAAACATAACTAAATAAAATAGATAATAAATAAAATAAACATATAAAAGAAGAAATAAAATGCATATAAATAGTGCATATAAATGCATATAAATGCATATAAATAAAATGCATATAAATAGTAAAATAAATAAATCATGAGACAAGTAAATAATAAATAACACAACACGATATATAAAAACAAATAATTTAAAACTCTATTGATATCAAATAAAAAAAAAACTTAATACAAGGGGCCAATAAAGAGCTTATGATACTTGAACGTGATAAAAGAAAATGCTCTATTTACAACCAACGGAAGCATCCTATATATTTGACATGTTTTCCTCCCACTCGACGTTAGTAGCGCGATCGGTTATGCGATTATCGACGCGAAAAGATATTCGGCAGAGGCTGGATGGAGGCGATGGGGATATAAGGGTGCAGGGGATATCGATCGTTCTTGCACTCCTTTAAGGCGCGTTAGAGCAGTGCCCTTGAAACTAGCAGCCTGCCTTTCTAGAGCGACATAACGTGGTGATGCGGCGTGTTCGCGCAGCGGTGTCGTTTCCATGGCAATGCATTGACGATGGGGACGAGCGTCCAACCATTCGCCATGACGCGTGCACTTTGTACATACGGGGTGCATTCAAAGATGTTAATGCGCGCGTCCTAATTGCACGCGCACCAGACATTTTAATCCATCGCGGTCCGAATTTTTCCGACCTTTCTACTCAACCGTTCCGTATGAATTTGCTTAATCCGTAATAATATTGCGTAGATTGCTTCCCCAGCAAACACATCGATATATCAATGTTATATAACTTATTCATCATTATATCAATGTTATATAACTGCAATAGAAATGATTATAACAGATAATATTGCATGAAAGTTATAGATATGTTACTGTTATGTTATTATTTTCCACTCATATATGTAACATGTAATATATCATGTTATATTATGGTTATGTAGGAACATCAATTAATGTAATATAACTGCAAAATATCCTCTCCCTCATTCTTTTATTCTTCCTGATTCTCTCTCATTCTCTCTCATATTCTTTCAGTCACTTTAATTTTCTACAACTCTTCTTCATTCTCTTTCATTTTTTCTCATTCATTTGCATTTTTTCTCATTCTTTCTTATTTTCCTTAATTCTCTCTAATTCCTCCTTAGCAATAAGAAAAAAAGGGAAATATAACGAGAAAAAAAATGAAAGATTTAATATAAATTTATATATAAATATAAGTTTATATATAAATGATAATAATTTATATATATATATATATATATATATATATATATATATATATATATA